GGAGAACAATATTCCACATGACAAGAAGCCAGAAAAAAAAGGAGTAGCTATTCTATTTGCAGACAATGTGAACTTCAAACCAAAAATGGTCAAAAGAGACAAAGAAGTTCACCACATACTTCTCAAGGGAATAATTCAAGAAGAAGAGCTAATAATTATAAACATATGTGCACCAAATAGAGGAACACCCAACTATATAAGACAAATACTAATAGAAAAACCAAATAAGCAGAAACACAATTGTAATAAGGGGCCTTAATCCTATTTTCACAAAGAGATAGATCAACTAGACAAAAAGTAAGCAAAGAAATAACAGAACTGAATCAAACCTGTGAGCAAATGGACTTAGTAGACATTAACAGAGTGTTTCATCCAACCACATCAGAATATATATTCTTCTCAGCTACAGATGGGACATTCTCCAAAAGAGACCATATATTAGCCCATAAAACATTCTTAAGTAAATGTAAAGGGATTTAAATTTTCCCATGCATATTACCAGGCCATAGTGTACTTAAATTGGAAATTAATGGCAAAAGAAATTGCAAAACCTGTATAAATACCTGAAACAATCAATGGGTTACAAGTGAAATTAAAGAAGAAATTAAGCAATATCTACAATTCAATAACAATGCAGAAACAACATACTGAAACCTCTGCAACACAATAAAAGCAGTCCTAAGAGGGAAATATATAGCAATAAATTGTCACATCAAGAAAACAGAACAAGCACAAATAAACAATGTAATGCTACATCTCAAGATTCTAAAAAAGAAGAGCAAGTAAAACCCAAAGCTCATAGAACCGAGGAAATTATAAAGACCAGAGCAGAAATTAATGCAATTGAGACTACAAAAACAATCCAAAGAATTAATGAATCAAAGAACTAGTTTTTTGAGAGAATAAACAAAATTGGTAAATCTCTAGCCAACCATATCAAGAAAAAGAAAGAAAAAACTCAAATTCATGCAATAAGGACTGAAAGGAGAGAAATTACTACAGATCCCATGGAAATTCAAAAGATCATGAATTCCTACTTTGAAAATCTTTACTCACATAGGAAGACACAGAGGAAATGGACAAATTTTTACAAACATATGAACTACCAAAGCTCAATCAAGAAGACACAATAATTTTGAATAAGCCAATATCAGCTACTGAAATTGAAAATGTGATTAAAAACTTATCGCGAGTTTGATCCCCGGTACCGATAAAAAAAGAAAAAGACAAAAAAAAAAAAAAAAAAAAAAAAAAAACTTATCAACAAAGAAAATCCCAGATCCTGATGGATTCACAGCTGAATTCTACAAGAAATTTAGAGAAGATTTAACTCCAGTAGTCCTCAAACTCTTCAATGAAATTGAAAGGGAAGCAATCCTCCCTAACTCATTCCTGAAGGCAAGTATTATTCTGATACCAAAACCAGAGAAAGACCCAACCAAAAAGGAGAACTATTGGTCATTTTCACTAATGAACATTGATGCAAAGATTTTCAATAAAATACCGGCAAATAGAATGCAGCAAATCATCAAGAAGATTATACAACACAACCAAGTGAGATTTATCCCAGGAATGCACAGATGGTTGAACATACACAAATCAATAAATGTAGTAACCCACATCAACAGAATAAAAAATAAAAATCATATGATCATCTCAGTAGATGCAGAAAAACTTTTGATAAAGTCCAACACTCATTCATGATAAAAATCCTACAGAAAATTGAAATAGATGATCCTTGTCTCAATCTGATGAAAGCCATCTGTGACAAACCAACAGAGAACATCATACTAAATAGACAAAAACTGAAACCTTTCACTCTAAAATAAAGAACAAGACAAAGATATCCATTATCACCATTCCTATTCAATATAATTCTGAAAATATTAGTCAGAGCAATCAGACAAGAGAAAGAAATAAAAAGAAAAAAATTAGGAAAGGAAGAAGTTAAATTATCACCATTTGCAGATGACATGATATTCTACATAGAAGACCCCAAAAACTCCATTAAAAGACTACTAGAGATAAAAAACAAATTCAGCTGTGTAACTGGTTATAAAGTCAACACTCAAAAATCAGTATCAGTCCTGTACACAAACAAAAAACTCACTGAGAGAGAAATTATGGAAATATTGCCTTTCACAATAGCATCTAAAAAAATGACATACTTAGGAATCAACCTAACCAAGAATGTAAAAGACCTATATGCTGAAAATTATACTACTCTTAAAAGAGGTTGCAGAGGATCTTAGAAAATGGAAGGATACTTCTTGCTGTTGGTTAAGAAAAACCAACATTACGAAAATGGCCATACTCCCAAAACTGTTACATAGATTTAATGCAATCCCAAACACAATATCACTAACATACCTTACAGATCTAGAGAAAACATTCCTAAAATTCATTCGGAAACAGAATAAATCTAGAATAGCAAAGGCATTTCTGGGCAACAAAGGCAAGGTAGGAGGCATCTCAATTCCTGACTTGAAATTATACTGTAAAGCTACAGTGATAAAATCAGTATAGTACTGGCAAAGAAATAGACCCGAGGATCAATGGAACAGATTAGATGACACAAACACAACTACAAACACACTCAGCCACTTATATTTGACAAAGGGGCTAAACATTTTCATTGGTAGAAGGATACTCTTTAATAAATGCGTTGGAAAAATTGGCTTTCCACATGCCAAAGACTGAAACTAGACCGATGTCTATCACCAGGCACTAAACTAAAGTCAAAATGGATCAAAGATCTCAATATTAAAACAGAAACACTAAATCTACTGGAAGACAAGGTAGGTAGAAATCTTGGAGACATAGGGGTAGGGAGAGAATGCATGAACAAAATGCAAACTGCAAGGGAAACACTTCAAAGAATCAACAACTTGGATCTCATCTTATTAAAAATTTTTTGCACTTCAAAAGAAATCATCAACAAAATGAAATGAAAATCCACAGAATGGGAAAGAATCTTGACCAGTAGTCCATCAGACAAAGGACTTATATCGAGAACATACAAAGAATTAAAAAATATCAAGACCCTCAAATTCAAAGACCCTCTCAGAAATGGGCATCTGAGATGAACACACAGTTCTCAGATGAAGAAATACAAATGACAAATAAATACATGAAGAAATGTTCACCATCACTGGTCATTCAAGAAATGCAAGTTAAAACAGCATTGAGATTTAATCTTACTCTGGAACGAATGGCTGCCATCAAGAAATGAACTGATAACAAATGTTGGTGAGGCTGTGGAGAAAAAAGAGCACCTCTCCAGGGTTGGTGGGAGTGTAGACTGGCGCAGCCACTGTGGAAATCAGTATAGAAATTCTTCAAAAAACTAGAATTGGAAGTTCCATTCAATCCAGCTGTTCCCCTCCTGGGTATTTTCTCAGAAAAATTGAAAAGGTCATGTCTCAGCGATATAGGTGCACCCATGCTTATAGCAGTGCAATTTGTAATAGCTAAATCTTGGAAATGACCAAAATGCCCATCAACTGCAGAATACATGAAAAAGATGAGGCGTTTTTCTACAATGGAATATTACTCTGCTATAAAGAGGATGATCTTGAGGCTTTTATAGGTAAATGGAGGCAACTTGAGCCTATCCTTATAAGTGAAATAAAGCAGATTCACATTTGTAAATATTGTATTATCTCTCTAGTATAAAAAAATAATAATAAAAACTGAAAGAGTAATAACATCCAAAATGTATAGTAGATAATGAAAGGGAAAGAAAGTGCTCTAAAGGACACAATTGTATGTATGTTTAAGTGTGCAAGCTGGATAACCACACTACCAAGTTTTTGTTTGTTCATCAAACAGAATGGTTTGTACTGTCATTATTTGAGTGTCCACTTTTTATGCTTAGCTTTTGTGACTTGAGCAACTACTTCTAAGATAACAATACATAATTTACCAACTTAGTGACTTCTTACTATTTTTGAAATTCTGTATTATTTCTACTTTTCTGTTTTGCTTTTTTCTAAATAAAAAAAGAAAGAGAGATTTTAAAAAGAGAGAACAAAGATGAAAGAAGAGAAAAAGGGAAAAAAGATAATCCATCAATAATAATGAAACAGACTTAGATGAAACTATCAGAGATAATTTCAATAGAGACATAGTATTATTTGGTAAGTGAAAATTGTTAGTCTTTTATAACTAGTGCTTCTAAAATGAACAATTGGCTTGCTTCAGTAAAGTAACCTAAATTAAAACAATCTTATGAACTTCGTTTTCTTCCTTGCCTCCAAATCTCATTATACACACATGAGTTTTAAATATGCTGTTATATAAACCAAGAAACCTGCAGGAAATAGTCCTGTAAGATTTTGCTTAATGCAGTATTTACCATATTTCTTTGAGCACTGAGTCCTATTTTCACCCCAACATTAGGTCTCACACTTAGCGTTCTATGACACATACTTGTGAAATGAACAAATTCATAGAATAGAGACATACAATAGAAAGGGATGATTTCTAGTCTTTTAGCAGAACATTTGTTATTAGGAAAGGAATTAGCAAACTTTCTAAAGCAATAAGGAAGTAGACACTGTGCCACTCTGAATCATTAATGGACTGGGAATCACATCCCTTTAGATGGCTCAGGTTTTGAAGTGATGCTGTGGGTTTCAGGGGCTGCCTATGTGTACCAAAGTTGGCCTGTTAGGGGTAGAAGAAGGCAGAATTTCAACAAAGAAAATAGACTGCTCTCCTTTTTTTCAGAGAAGAAGACAGCATGAAAAGAAAAATCAGTACTAAAATGATTCCACAGTTAAACACCAAGTAAGTGAGATATAATATAATATCTCCTGGAACAATAAATATTGGCAGATTTCTTTTATTTATTTACTTTCCTTGTACTTTTTTCCCTGGAATTTCCCATCACTATATATCTGTTACTCAACTTTCATTTTTAGAAAAAGTTGACTTAACAAAACCAGTAGCTGTTATTTTGTTACACTAAAGTATCCATCATTAAAGTACTAAGGAGGATCCTCAGGCTCATGAGCGTGATGACTAGGTGCTCATGCTCCATGCATGACATGTGCCTGCTTTGAACCTTGTTACGATGTCGGCACATTACCCGTCTGACGTAAAAAAAAAAAATACTAAGGAGATGGGAGAGAAGGGAGGGGAAGGAGATGAGAAATAAAAATAAAAATAACTGAAGTGGAATATAATGATAATAGAACATTTGCAAATGGGAAGGGGATCAGGAGTTGAAAGGTTTAGGGAGGGATGGGAAGAGTAGGATATTAAACCAAAAATGAAAAAATTATTAACATGTGTTATATACGTGTACCAACTCCCCACAATAATTATGTACTGCAAACACGTACTAATAAATAACACAAACATTCCAATTTAAAAACAAAACAAATCAAAACATTTATAATTTTTTGTTTTGTTTTTGCCTAAAATTACACTTATGCTTTCTGAAGCTGGTCTGATCACCTGGCCAGTACAGAAATAAGTTTTCTTTGATCATGATGGAAAGAGAAAAATATGACAATATTATTTTATATATATTCCATTTGAAGGAATGTTTTTATGTTCACATTATATCCTGTCTACATATTTTACATTAATTCCATTTCCCTTCTTTGGTATTAATATTCCTTTTCTATAAGACAATGAACAAAGAGAGTAGCTATAATTTTAAATATATTATTTGACAAAAACTAATATTTGGAAGTCCTATCTCCCACCTCATTTGTTGTTTGTTTTGTTTTTTTTATTCAAAAGTTGAGAAATAGGTTCTTGAGCCATGGACCCTCACGTGCCCAGCTTGCTGCAGTATTTCCCGTGATCCCCAGCATGCAGAGCTGTGGTAAGCACGCAAGACCGGTGACTGTGATAAGCTAGCGGGCATCAAGCACAGACGCTTTCACCGAAGACTACCAAGCTTTATAGGACCAACTTTTCTGTGGTGCCTGTTCAACTCTACCACTGAGGCAGGAAACCAGCACGCAAGTTTGTGTAGTAGCTGTATGCCAAAGCAAGACCCTTTTTTCACATGCATCATTTTATCTTAAAACAGGGTTGTCACTATTCACAAATTGCCCAGGATGAACTTGAACTTGCCATCCTCCTGCCTTCACTTCCCAGAGTGCTGGGATTATAAGTTTGCACCACCAGCTAGTAAGGTTTTTGTCCAGCTAGTAAGGTTTTTGTCAAGAACTGATGCACAGGTTGGTTTCAGACAACTTCTGTATTTAACTCCAGATCACAAATTTCAGAGTCTAGGGATTGTGTGTATGTGTCATGATACCCTGTATTCTTTTATTTCAGCTACTTTTCTGATACTAATTTGATGAAAATGAGGAATATGATCCTTAAAAAAGACATTATTAAGATGTCCTCAGATTGTCTTTTACAAAGTGTGCCAAGAGCAAAATTTCTAGCATCAGACAGATTTGGACCTTACCAACATGCCACTCCATGACTGTGTGACTGTGGAAAATTTAATTAAATTCTATAAGCCATTGGTTGAATAAGGGTAAAGTTGGGTTAATACAGTGGTATCTTAGTTCATGAACTTACTTCTTTTCAAGATTCTGTTCGCAAACTGAATTGGTCACAAACTAAATCAAATTCAATGGTTAGGTTCAATATTGTCCTTATCGGGAAATTTCACTTGGTTTGCAACCAGTTTGGTTTGTGACCAGAATGATGGGAAGAACTAAGCTCATGAGCTGAGGTACCACCACACTGGCATGTGCTAGGAGCCATTATCTTCTTATCAAATATCAAGTGTTCTGGAGAGGAGATAATGATACACTGACTTCATAAAATGGAAGTCATATTCCTCTCTGCTTCCTGAGTTTTCATATTTGGAGGGTAGGGTTAGCATCTTAGAAAGAATTAAATTCATAAACAGAGGTACCACTGTAATAGTTCACATCTCCCTGGGCTATGTGAAGATTACAAAACAGGATGCACATAAAATATCTATTTGGATTAGTGCCTGTAACGTAATGTTTGAAAAAAGATCTAGCAAGATAAGATGGTAACTTATCACATTGTTAGAAGGTGAACTTTGATAGCTTTCATAATCTTGCTTCTTCTAATGGATTTTAGATAAATTTTAATATAACTGATTTTCAAAGTAATACTGTAAATTTTAAAGATCAGCACTTGTATGAATATAGAACTAGAGATACTGGCCCTGAATCAAGGCCAGCAGCTTCCTGACACTGTTGGTTTCAAGCAGGAGCCTAAAGAGATGTCTTTCTATGGTCCGTTGACCATTTCAGAACTTGGGCAGTGAAATGATCAATTCATTAGAAAGAAACAGCTTGAAGCAACCCCCCTCCATGAGCAGCTGTGAGCATAGCAGGCTCTGGTGGCCCAGGATAAGAGCCACTGGCGTTTACTGGGACCCGCGTCATGCTGGGACCTGGAGCATTGGGAAACCAAGCAATCCCTCCTTACCAACATGTTTTGTTTTGCTGAACTTCAATATACATGAAAGTATGGACAGCTATTTTGAAAAGAATGAGAGACTCTACAACAGCCACTGGTGACTTGTGTATGTCTGGTTTTAAAGACCTAAAATGCCTGCCTCATTCTGTTCCGATCAGTTTTATAGTATGTTGTTTTGTATGAATTCTCTGTATGCAAAGACATGGACAACTATTTGGAAGAAAATAAGAGACAATATGATAGACAGTGAAGATCGCAGGTTGTCTAGCTTTGCAATTTATATCTCTTACATTGCTTTCTTATGTCCTATATTGTACTGTTTTGTTGTGTTTAATTTTACCCCCTTTAAAATAAAATTAAAAAAAAAAGAACTAGAGGCAGATGTCTTCCATTGTTCTAATAAGGTAGGAGAAAACCAATTGCTGGGGAGTTTCTAGGGACTGGGAAGATAGGTTCCATTCAGAACTCTAAAAAACATTTACTGATTAACTTAGAGACATCAGATTCTCACTCTTCAGAATCTCACTCTCACCTCATTGCTTCCCAACTGAAGGTAGTTTCTCCCTCAAAGTCCACTAAATGCAAGCATCTGGTTGGCAAGGACAACGTTGAATCTATGTGTTTCATAGATGCATCATCAGAGGCTAAAAGAGAACTTGACATTGCAAACTTCAAGTAACTACTAGTAAGTCAGTGAATGAATGAATGACTACATAAGTGGGCAACTTGGCATCTAATCAGTGCTTCATGCTGTTTAGAAATATAGACAGAAGTCTTACAGCTACTGTAAGAGATAAAGAGAGTGAAATTTATGACCACACAAGCCCACTTGGCTTCATGGATTCAGAGTTTCCAGAAAGAAACTAAGAATAATATATGGTGCCAGTGAATACCAAGCCAATAAAAATAAAGAAAAAAATGTTTGCGCACCCACAGACCAACATTTCTAGGAAAAAGTACTACTCATTGAGACTTAGAGTAAGGACTTGGTCATTTGTTTCTTATTTCAGGAACAATAAGATTTTTTCCCATTGGCCTCTGGATTTTCCTTACTTAGGATTATGGCTTGCATCCAGCTGTACCTCTGCCCCTAAGCCTCATGTGGTCATGGGGGGCTGGATCTAGAATATGTGACTGGAATTGACTTATGGTGCAAAGGCATTAGGATTAAGCCCTAAGTAGTCTGGATAAAATAAAAGAGGCAGAAGATACTGTTAAGGTCCCTTGTTGCTTTTGCTACCCCGTGAATGCCATGAACTGTTTTCTGTGTTGCCTCTGCCAAGCCACCTCAGTTACAGACTGAAACCTCTACAAACTGTGAGTTAAATATACCTTTTCTCCCTGACCTTGTGGGTGATGGATGTTTGTCTCAGTAACTAAGACATGTGGTCCCCCACTCAGTCTCTCATGACTCCTTCTATCTCACTAGTCCCTCCTCTTCAGTTTCCTTTGCTGATTCCTCATTTTCTCAACTTCCCCAATTTTAAACTCTTCACTACACCCACTTCCTAGGTGACCCTTAGCTTCAAATACCATCCGCACACTAATACCTCCCAAAGTCTGTCCCAGCTCTGACTTCCTTCCCAACTCCAAGCAACTCTACATGACTGATGCTGAATAGTTTTCTTGTATAATTAGGTGGGCATCCTGAACCTGAAAGAGACCAAGACTGAAATCTGGATTTTCTCCCAAACACTGTGGCAAATTCAGCCTTGCAGATGTTCAAACCAAAACTTTTTTCTCCCCTTCCCCCACAATTCACAAGCAGTCATTGGCAAATCCTTTCGACAGAGTCCTCCATAGGTATCTATCATCCAATACTTTCCATCTCCTCTGACATCACTGTGGTCCCATTAACCAGTACAATACAACAGCCTTCTTTTTGTCTTTTTGAAACAGGGTCTCGCTATGCAGTTCAGGCTGGCCTTGGGCTCACTTAGTAGCCCAGGCTGTTCTTGAACTTGCCACAATCTGCCTGCCTCGGCCTCCCGAGTGCTGGGATTACAGGAGTGTGCCACACCATGCCTGGCTAACACAACAGCCTTCTAACTGGTCTCTGGGCATTTGCTTCTGCTATCTGTGACCCAGGAGCCAGCGTGGTCCCTTAGGACACAAAAGATATACTGTCACTTCTCTAATCACAACCCTCCAACATCTTATTGAATAGAAACAAAACCATGATCTGCCCCACACCATTTCCTGGCCGACTTTCCTGACTCACACTGCTCTGGATCTTGGTCTCTTTTAGATTGGTTCTCTTTAATGGAGGCTTAACTACTCTCCTCTTAGGAGAGTAGGGCAGGGGTCCTTTTTCAGATGGGGACATCTATTCTGTCCATTGCTATATCCCCAGGGCCTAGTATAATGCCTAGCAAGTGGTAAGTCCCTATAAAAACTTGTTGAACAAATATTCTTTTGGTAAAATCATCTATGTATATCAATATGCAGATATTAATTGTATAACCACTTGCTAAATGCCTTATACAGGCAAATACCATGCTTGTCAGTATCACACTCAGAATCCAATACAAAGAGCAGTAGGCATTCTTTATGGGTCAAAATTAATTTAGAAAATATTAGTCAGAAAATTCGACGTAATGCTAGGGGACTGTTATTAAATAAATGGTTTAAACTGGAGAAATATTACTTTACTTTGTGTGTACAGGAT